GCAGCTGGGTAGGTGGGAAATGGGGAGTGTTGCAGTGGGTAGGATCCTGCTACTGAGCTGGGAATCTAAACTGAAGAGGAAAAGCATCTAAGGGTAGGGAGGCAGGTACTAGGTGCACTCCCAACCCTCACTGGGACTTGTTTCTCCAGGACTGGAGGTGATGAACCAGTCACATCATGGGCTTGGGGCTTCTCACCCCACCAGAGCATCAGATGAGTCAAAAGATACAGACATGATACAGCTGTGCACAGAAATCTTACCGCCTCTTCCTGAAGCCATCACTGGAGAGAAGTACATTTGGTGGGTGATAGGAGAAGACAGATGGACCCATACAGAGCCCGGTATTCCAGTGCTCCCCTGCTCTGGCACAGCCCAAGGGTGGGAGCAGCCTGTTCCACTGCTGTGCAGACACCAGCACACCTAGGCCTGCTCAAAGGGGCATCTTTTCCACCTAGCAAACGGATGCTCAGAGACGATGAGGGCGAGGGATGGGATGTGTGTGTTTCCTCTGACATGTGAATGTGCTGATCACTATTTGAGTCTCTTTTAAATCTTATTTTTCTGTTAATTGTGACTTAATATGTACCCAGCAGGCCTCTAATTTTCAGCAGCAGCTTTCTGCCTGGCAGCCCATTAAGCCCCTGCCATGCTGGCAATCATTTTAAGGGCCGTTCCATTGATTGAGGTAGCACAGAGAGCTGGCAGAGTTTTCACAGGAGCTGTGACTTAAAAGCAAGGGTCCCCAGCAGGACATTGCTGGAATGAGTGGAGGTGAGCATCTCCCCAGCCTCAGCCTCTGACGTATTTCCCCTGATGCAGGCAGAGAAGCACAGACAGAAGAGTGGACCAAAGGCTTTAACAGCATCTCTGCAAACTGTGTTTCCCAGGCCACAGCCTGACACCAGTTTGGCAGCTGCTCTGCTATTAACAACTAGAAGTATTACTGCAGTAACATGACCTAACAAATCCCCTCTGCGCAGAGGTAAGGGCTGCATAATGGTCAGCATTAGTGCTGCCAAATCCCAGTGGGAGACTGCAGCACATGCAGGACCCTGAAGCAGCTCCCCAACAGGGATTGCAAGGATGAGGTTGTAGCGAGAGTTGGGTCTCTTTTCCCAAGTACCAGGTGATGGGACAAGAGGAAACAGCCTCAAGTTGCACCAGGACAGGTCTAGGCTGGATATTAGAAAACGTGTCTTCACCAAAAAGAAGGTTGTGAGGCACTGGAACAGGCTGCCCAGGGAAGTGATGAAGTCACCATCCCTGAAAGTAGTTGAAAGATGTGTAGATGTAGCATTGAGAGCAATGCTTTGGTGGTGGTCTGGGCAGTGCTGGGTTAATGGTTGGACTCAATGATCTCAAAGGTCTTTTCCAGTCTAAACGATTCTGTGATTCTGCAAAGCTGGGGCTATGTGGAGTCAGCGCATCTCCATCGGGTCCCCAGTTCCTGGGCTGCACGGGAAGTTTTATTCCTGTGGCAGTGGAAAAGAAGTGGAAATCATTTTTTTCCCGTTTGCACCTGCCTTTTTTTTTAATAAGGAAAAGAAAACCCAAACCATGCCCGCGGCACAAAGTGTTGCCCGCTTTGACCACACGATGGTGCCGCAACACAAGCGTTGGTTGGGAAAATACAGCTGCTCACAACGTCCTAGAACCATGGGATCTTAGAATGGTTTGTGTTGGAAGGGACCTTAAAGCTCACCCAGTTCCAACCCCTGCCACGGGCAGGGACACCTTCCACTAGAGCAGCTTGCTCCAAGCCCCTGTGTCCAACCTGGCCTTGAACACTGCCAGGGATGGGGCATCATTTCACGTGCCTGTGTTAGGGATATCTATCGGGAATAACTTATGGCACTGTTGTGCCTTGTCTTTAACAAAGGAGTGTTTGGCTTAGGTGGAAGATGGATTAAATTCTTGGCAGAAGGATGTATTCAGAACTTTGGCAGCTTCACCATTTATCTTCAGTTTATTAAGCTGAAGCATACAAGCCTGTGCACTGGACTCAACAGATACTAACATTTTCCATGTAAACCAGTGCCTGTTTTTCTTACCCGGAGATCCTTTGTTTTTACTGCTTCTTTCAGCCAGCCAAGCTGCTTGGCCCAAACATGCAAGGTCTTACAGAAAACACATTTCACATTCTTCTGCAGTAGCAGGGAGGATATTTGGAAACAACCCTTCCCTCAGTGCCTTTGCACTCAGCAAAGCTGCGTCTTTGCCTGGTTGCTTTTGTTCAGCAGAGATAAGAGTGAGAACGCAGCATGAGAAAACACATTTTCAGAGGTCTCTGCAAAGGGCCGCTGCTCTGCTTTGGTAAACATGAAAATCTATTGTCTTGATAGCAAGTCCAATTCCTTAGCAAATTACTGCTCTGGGGATGGAGGTCAGCTCAGTGCTACAGCAAATAACAGTAATATTGAGTCCTTTCACAGCTAGAATTGTCAACAGAAAGGTGAAGGGAATTGGAAGAAATTGGCGTGAGCTTTAGCCAATATAGAGATCTGCTGCGAGGCTGTAGTGAAGCCACTGAATGGCAGTGGTACGCTGCTCTGCAGCTGACAGAGAGGGGCTTTGACACCCAGCGCTGTCACATCATTCAAGAAAATCAAATGCTTTTTTACCTTTAGGTCACCAGATCAATACCATTTTTACAGTATGGGCTAGAGAGCAATATCCTTACTTCCAAGATACCCTTTTGACAGCTAATTTCCTACTTTTTGATACTTAGCCATGCCCCAACCCAACAGTATAAGGTTGCAATATGTTAAAGCGAAGAGACCATAATTTGGAGCTCATGAAAAAGATGAAGACCTAAAAGCAGCTTCAACCACAACACAGCCTCATTGGAGACTTTGCTTTCAGATCACATATAGCTTATAACCCCTTCCCTATGTGTCACAGTGCTCTACACAGCACAACGACTCTCAGTGCACTGCCTGCTCCCACCCTTGGGCACATCTGAACACTGCTGTCCAGCATCCTTACTCTGAGTCAGAACTAGGCAAGACCTCAATCTAGGAGGGTGATGGGCATGATTCAGCCTAAAGCAGAAATTATGACCACGAAGCATGTATTGATTTAGTTTATATACTTAGGCAAAAGGCAGAGAGAATTTCCCCAACCACTGGTGGACTGCATGAGTCTGCTGGCCGAAATCAAAGTTCAGCACCATACATCAGTGTGACACAAAGTACTGTGTGTCATTTGCCCAGGGAGGTTGTGAATGCTCCATCCCTGGCAGTGTTCAAGGCCAGGTTGGACAGAGCCTTGGGTGCCATGGTTTAGTGTGAGGTGTCCCTGCCCATGGCAGGGGGTTGGAACTGGATGATCCTAAGGTCCTTTCCAACCCAAACCATTCTGTGATTCTATGATTTGTTCATGGCATTAACCCTCACATTAAATGATAGTAACAGAAATATTCCTTAGCTTTTAGGGCTGGTAAGATAATATCATGAGCTCGTGGTTGTAATGGAAATATTTGACCATGGCAGATCAGGTTAGCAAACATTGTGTATAGCATTACCCTGAGCACACAGTGTTGACTCTAATTCAGAGCACAGGTAGCAGAAATCTTTTAATGTCAATAAACTGTTGACTGAAAAATTTACATTTGTAAACAGTGGTGAATTTATGCTGATTTTCTGATTCTTTTTGCCATGGTATTTTTTTGTACTGCTAAAATAATCCATCCTCAGTTCTCAACCCATTTTTGGTCTTTAAGCATTCCTGAACTAGACCTAATCTGTTCTGGTTGTCTAGAACTACTTCCCTGAATTACTTATTTTAGTCTTTCCAAACACCAGACTGAATGCTTTTTAAACAGCCCATTTACAGTTGGCAAAGGACCTAGAAATATACTTCTGTTACAAAAAATCTCACAGCATCAGTCATATTCACATGTGAAATGTTCAGGATTCATGAAGTTTGCAGCATTAATTCTCAGTTCAGAAACAAAGGAGGTAAATAACTTGTCCCTGTGGAGGAAGATGGTGAATAGTTATCCTTAGTAGTTGTAAATGTATTTGTGAATCCATCAGGAAGCTGGATTGTGGGGCCCTACATAAAGTTTGAAAGGACACATAACGCCAATTAGAAATGATTCTTTGGGCTTTTAATACCTGGTAGCTAAATACCAGCTTCATTTGACCCACTCAACATGCATTCAGGGAAGAAACTATCTGTTTTGGCCTTAAAATGAAATCATCTACAGGCAGCAATTTTTTGTATCCATGCTGGCCAGTTCCATCTGCATCTGTAGCTATCACTGACCCTGACCAGGTGTGCTTGAAATCAAATATTGAATTACTGCACATTTATAGAGAAATTTGGCCATTTTGGTCAAAGAAAAACTTTCAGATAGTCCAAAATTTCTCCATAATTGAGAAAACATTTTTTTTATCAATTCTGCATATCTCAACCTTCTTAACTCGATGTAGACATCTTTCCTGAAGAGGGAAACACATAACATGCAACTATTTAATTAGATAACACACCCTCTCTATGAGGACACAAGATACTGTGCCTTTATGCATTTAATAACAAGATCTCATATTGATCTTAAAATGCATATTTCTTTGCAATGGAGAAGAGTAATTGTGTAGAACCTAACAGAAGACTCCGTAAAAGCTCTTTGTAGCCAGCAATGGACTTTACATCAAGTCTGTTAGTGGTTTCCTGGGTAAACGTGTGAATAATATGAATAAATGGTACACATTTGCATTTACACGAACAGTATATGGAAGACAATGGATTTGTACATTAGACACTAAATGTGGCCTGTTGTTTGTATTTCAGTCATCCATTCTTACCTGGAATATAAAATGTTCTTTCACAAGATCTGTGGCTAAGTCCATTTAGTTTGAAGGTATAAATTAGACTTGCAAATTTATCCAAAGGCAATTATCCTTTATCTTTGTTTCAGAATTAAGGAAACATAAAAACTTTACTGAGAATGAAGATCATTTGTGAGCATGCTGACAAAAAAGAAACCGAATTTTAGGTTGAATTCGATTAAAAATTTTAATGACTAAATGACATTGATAGTTTGAAAAAATGAATGAATAACATACTGAAAATGAGATTATAAGTGTAATTGTAGGAAACTGATGCTAATTCTGTGTTGCAGCATCTTAATGAAGATTAAACTTCACCATCCCCATGGAGAGAGTAAGACATCGTCTTTGTACTAATGCTTTTCCACTCTTTTCCTGGGGTAAAAGAAGTTGCAATAAACTGATAAACAAGATGCTTTACATTCTCACAAGGAAAATGTGATATAGGTGTCATGAAGTGTGCTGACTGAAGGTGAGAGTCTCAGCTCATCAATCGGCTTCTCTTTGGAATGGGAAAAATGTAAATATCCACGCACAAAAATAGAATTTAAAAAAATAAAAACTCCTTTAAGCGCTGTATTTGTGGCACTAAATTTACATATTATGTCCTCTTCCATAAAAAAGCATCATCAAAAAGAACTTGTGCCAGTTTCGTATTAAAAGGCCTGTAGAAATCTCTTAAAATTGCCTTCGTTGTTGGAAGCATAGGTCCTAGACTTCTGTCTTCAGGTCGTCTAGTGTTTGATGCAGGACTCTTTGTAATCAGAGCTTCTTGTTTCTCACTTAGGGGTCCTGTGGAAAACCAGAAGATTACCTTGGAATATTTCACTAAAAATGCCTGTGCTAAAGATAGCAAATGACTCGATCAGGTTTGCCTGATGGAATGGAATTTGTGTTAGCAGCAGTGATGTTTCAGAATACTTAATACAGGCTTAGATTAGTGAAATAAATCACTGTTAGTAAATATGGAAATAATACGTTTTCCTTCCATATTAATTAATCATTGCTACAACAAGCAGCATAAATCATTCCTGGAGGAAAAAAAGAGTTTTCAGAAGACAACTATGACATTGTGAAAGGTGGCTCTGCCCATGGAAGGGAGTTGGAATTAAATATCTTCAAGGTCCCTTCCCAATCCATTCTGTGAATATGACTTTCCATCCATTTTGGATTTGCAATTATTTGCTAGTGTTAGTTCATTTTATGATGTGAGTTGTCTAATACCTGATAGCAACTCTATGGGTTTCACTTATGTAAGCCCTCTTTTTTGTTTGTTTTGGAGGCTGTCAGTGGGATCAAAGTGGTCCATGGGTATAGCGATGCCCCTTTTCCAGGAATAAAAGTAAGCCCTTGACAGTGTATTTCAGCAAGATAAAAACCTACAGACTTTTCCAGCATAAACCATATTCAGGAAGGAGATGCCAAACACTTCATCTGTTCAATCTGCTACATTCAAACTTTCTCATCATCTAGACCAGTGTTTGGACCAGCCAGACTATTTTGCAGCCACATTCTCATCCTCTTGCTACTGTCAAATCAACATTGGGCAACATTTTGTCTGCCAGTGTTTCTCTGAGGATTAGCAACAGATGTCTCAATCAACACAGTAAAAACACAGTTTCCCCCTTTTCCCAAGGCTAGAAACTCAACCTTTCATCACACTCAGATTTAGATCCTGGATTGGTGGATGCTGGCAACAGCAGGCACATTTCAATTTGTTTAAATTGCATGAGATTGGTCTTGCACCTATGTAAGCCCATGACAAACAAGCCCTGACTGCCTTCAGAAGAAGGACTGGCTTCCGTATGGTAAGATTTATCAGATATATCCCTACATGCTGGATGGTTTTGATTTTTTTCCTTGACATAATCTTATTAACATCTTCCAACACCAGCTTTTCTATGGGAATTTGAGAGCTTTAATTTTGCTCAACTCCAGGCAACAAGTTAATGCATACTTCAAGCCAGATTCCCATGCTCCTATTTTGTCTCCTAATAAGAAAAAATTACCTAGAAGAAGGAGAAATCAGCCAGAAGATACATACCCAGATCCAGAAACCGGAACACCATGTGCATGGTGTACTTCACATTTGATGCGTGGTCCTCCAAGCGAAGAACAAGTATCTGATCTTTGTTAAAAACTGTCAGCCAGTCCAAAAGATACACGACATAGAGCCCAACCTGTAGCCTTACCTGTAAGCACAAAAAAAATCCAAAGCAAATAAACATTAATTCATCTTAAAACACTTGTAGCAGTAAGAAACCAAAGCTCAGCTCTGCCTTTTGGGCAAGATTCCCACATGCATGCTTCTGAGGAACCATAAAAAGACAATATCTTAACATTGAACATTTGTTTAATCTTCCTTTTGTTTTCAGTGCAGCTTAAGCAAATCTTTGTAAATGGCCTTTCTATTGGGTTAGAGATATCATTTTACTAAGGGCTTGGTTATGCACCTGCTGCAACAGGCACACATTTGCATAAAAGCACTGCACAGAAATAACTATACGAAGAAGGATGCTCGGCCATCTCACCTCCATGCTCCTCTGTGCTTGCGATGACCCAGGCTTCACTGTGAGTAGTACAAATGCTCTGATTTGGTGTCAAGAATTAGATTTGGATGTATTTGCTTGTATCCTCTCATTGCAATAATTAGATTTAGATCTAAGCTGAAGCAGCAGTGGCTGCTAGACAGTGTTAATGGCACGTTGTCTGAGTACGCGATGAGAGTGCCAGACTATGTTAGACCAGGCATGTGAAAAGGCAGTTTTTCAGCCTATCCTGATCTAATCTCTGTTTTTTTTCCCTCCTCAATTTCACATAACAAGCTGAAACATAAAAAGGGTAGTCTGGAGTTCTTAAAAGTCCAACCTCCAACTGTGCCTATAAATACTTTTCTAAATCCCTTCAGGCTCAGAAGAGAGAATCACGAATCCCAAGTCATAAGCATCTTTCATAAAAAAGACTTAACATCTTTAAGTCGCATTACTGAAGAACAAATGAACTCAGATAACAATTGTATCTTTCACTTCTTACACTGACTCATGGCCTACACTGCTACCTAAATTCCAGTAAAATAAGCCATATTTTGAATTATTACTAGTCATTATAATCATAATGTATGATTCTGATGTAAGTCTTTGGCTGTTTATAACAGTAAGCATCTACATTTAGCAGACTTCTTTGTATATATGCTACACAAGAATTTGAAACATTTAATTAAAACATCACCCTAACATGTAATAATAATGGCACATATACTAATAATAGCTCTCCACCCCCCAGTCAATGCCCCATTTCATAGAATACTGGGTCAAACATGTCCCCAGTGATGGGTTTTCCTTTTCTTTCTCCTGGGAGATGGAGGTGAGCAAGAGGCAATCATGAGCTGCATGATATACTTTGGGATTGAAGTGCTTTCCCACAGAGGTTTAGAATCCTTTTAAAGCTTTTCACCAGAAAGAGGAATTTTAAACTATATGTTCCCATAATGTTAACTAATATGATCCTATAATTTTCAGTTTTCTTGGAATCAGCAAGAACCTTGATCTTATTCCCTAGACAGCGTGTTGTACTGACTTCTTTTCTATCGCTGTTCTTCTGAACCAGACCATCTCCTTCCACAAAGCTCCAATGCTTCTCCTCTATACATCAAAGGCATCAGTAGAGTTTCCTAAGCCATTCTCCCTTCCATATTATCTATTCTTTCAGTTTGTTCACCTTGGCTTTGCATGCCTTTTTCTTGTGATTCATGCTTTTCAGTGATTCTAAGTCAGGATGAGCTGCCAAACACCCCTTGTTTACAGGTTAGCAGGTATCAGCAGCAACACAGCAACAATGTCTATGACACCTCTTTTGTTTCAGGAATATATTAACAAATAACAACATAAAAGTCTTCTGGCATAGTCAGACAATTAGCAATGTAATGAGCTCACCAGGGAAAATAATTCTTACTTTTTCAACGTGTAGCAAACCATGCACATAACAAACAGACTTTAGCAACTCGAATGAAGCAGCCACTATTTCAAGCCCATTGAGGAGCACAGTTAGCATTTGTGTTTTATTACGAATAGCATTTGTGTTTTATTACAAACACCTGCTTGTGGCTCTTTGGGAAGAGGCATCCTCTGTTCATTTGCAGAAGTATCTTCTTCAGAGGGCTGCCTAAGACAACAAATGAAGATTGGTTCTGTACCCTGAGGATGAAGAGAGGAGGAAATTCTTTCCTTCTGGTTCCCTCTCTGCTTTTCTCTCCCCACACTGGAAGAAATGCATTTGTACAAGCAGATGGCTAGAAAATGCTGTGATACTGCCCAGCAGCAGCTCCTGCCTGTGGAGGTCCTGGAGGCTATCAGTAAAGATGAGCAGCTCCAGTCTACCTGCCAAGGTAAGTAAGAGGAATGTCCTCTGCTGTGGGGCTCAAGCCTGTACAATACACTCTTTTATGGCAATTTTATTGAGTGGAGGAGGGCAATAACTTCCCCCCTGGAGACAAAGAGGGGAAGTATTCCCTCTAAGTCCTCAACAGCCTGAGCAAATAAAATAGGACTGAATGGCAAACTGGCCAGAAGTGATACTTCAAGTCAATCTCTTCCATATTATTCTCCCCCCCTCAAGCAAAGTTTGAAGTCATTACTACACTGAAAATGTGAATTTTGGAATACTGAGCCTGTAATACTCATCCATTCTCCTGCCAGGACTTTCTGTATTTCCTTTTATCATCTTCTGATGTGCACAACTGAAAAAGAAAGTTTTTTTTTTTATCTAGTTACTGGTAGCCTTTTCTGGAGAAAGAATACATCATTTCTTCCGATTTTGAGGCAATTTTGCACCAGAAAGATCCTTGCCAGAACTACTTTTTGGAGACATCTGCAAAAAAAGCTTACACATTAAAGTGTAATCTTCACTAAATGTGCTCTCCATACGCTTGCACAATAGAAAGACTGTATTATTACTGTTGGCATTCATCAGGGAACAGACTGAGGAGACAGCTGAGCCAGTACATCAGCTTTTATATGTTTACATATATATTTATGTCATCCACTTTACAAATGAAAACGGAGTAAGTTTTATTTCCTGATGCTTATTTGCTCAGCATTTTGGTGTTTTAATAACCTTGACACAACGCACCATCCCACAAGCAAGGAAGCAAACGTTCTCGGAAATACGTACGGGCATGGCGTTGTTGAGGGTGTTGTTGTAGACACAGGCCCTCAGGGAATAATCCAGCATGCAATTTTCAAACAGCTGCAGTGATTCTGCCACTTTTTCATGAAAATCTTCCACAGATTTATTAGCACTTGCAAAGTACAGATAATCGGAGTACAATCTGTGAATGAGAGATGGGTAAATGATAGAGGGAATGAAAGCAGACTTATTTACATGAGAATGGCAACCAGTTAAGTGCATCAAGGGAAAGGGTATATGTGTGCAACATTGCCCCATTGGCAGGCTGGTCAGCCAGGGATACATTTTCTATTCATTTTGATGGGGTTTGGCTCAGAGTAGCACTCATTTCAGGGAGCTGCTAAACATCATCTCTGCTTTCAAGGTCAGCACCACTTGAGAACCCGACCATAGTAATTGTGCAAGCCAGTATTTTCTCCTGAAAGCAAGTTTTACAAGTGTATGTGCTTTTATTTTGTGTTATCTACCACTAATGGAACAGTTCTCAGCTGACATTGGGTGCCCCTCTATATCTGGTGCTCCACGCTGCCATGGATAGAAACAGTCCCCATCTCAAAAGCTTAATGTTGATTTCAAAACCAACAGAGAGTGGGACAGGTTATGAGGGATTTGTATATGATTACCAAGCTGGCCAACATCAAGAGCAGGAAAGAGTATAGACTTCCTAGTTTTTTTCAGAAAGCTCCCCCTCCAACCCTGTATTGGCTTTCCATCAAAACCTTCCAATTTACAGCATTCCATCTCCTGGTTTTTTCAAGCTGAAATACTCCAGCTAGGTGAATGGTTCACGTCTGTGCTACAGTGTCTAGGGCTGCACTCCCCAGGCGGTCCCACCTCTGCTTAGAGGACAGCAGGACATGAGCCCATGCATGTTTGGAGCTTGTAGGCAAGCAGAGCCCCTGCATCAGCTGCTGCCATGAGCAAAAGCCACCAGCAACAGGAATTTCTCTTAAGTTACAGCAAAGGAATATCCCTTTATTGCACATTTTTAGCCCAAGTTTTACAGTTGCTTAATATCACTTTTAAAAGATTATCTAAATTCAAATCCCTCTGGACAGGGGTGGTGGTGAAACAATCCAAAACCCACAGGCAGACATTTTACCTGTTTTAGCATTAATCCCTCAAACCCTGATTAAACTGTTCCAAGGTAAACATGGTTCAAACAGACAGAGGAAATGCCCTGACACAGTATAAATATTAGATCTGCTTTCTTTCAAATTCAGGCTTAGAAACTATGACCAGAACCAATACTGTAGGTATTGTTTGATATGCTGTTATCAAGAAGGAGTCACTTCTCCGAGTGTATTTGCAGCACAAATATTGTGCCTCCATAGCACCCACCTCTCACAAATCCTAGATATCTCTCAGCCTCTTCCAAAAAACACAGGTGTCTAAGGAAAAACCCAATAAAATCCATTTATTTCGGTCTTATTTTATTGCTGCAGTAACCTTTTCTACTGCACTTTATTTATTTTTTAACTTCCCTCTATGTCCACAGGTACTTAAAAATTCATCATTTAATTTAGAAAGTTTAGGCCCTCATCCAGCAAAGCACTTAAGCACAGGAATAGCCCCTCTACACTCATTATTTATGTTAGCGTTTTGCAAGAACACGATTTTAATTCCCATATGAAACAAACGGAGGCTCTCTGTTAGTTTTAAAAGGAAGGGTTGCATTTGTTACAGGATGCTTCCCATTCAATTTTTACCCATGTTTTAAAAGAAGACTCATAGCAAACTATAGAAGATGAGGCAGAGACACCCAATACTATGTATAGGAGTGACCAACAAGGAAAAAGACTCTTTTTGTCCAGTTCTTCCCAGTCTGGCAAATACGCTTCAGACAGCTTTCTTTAAATGAAAACACTCCACTTCAGAGCAGAGGGATGGTACCAGGTTTGGACCAGGCTGGTTGAGCAGCCTATTTCAAAGCGATGCCCACCAGTCCTTGAGGACCACAACCATGGCACCTTGTGTGTCTCCTCTGCAATGGCAGACCTTGGGTCCTTCACAGTGTACCCACCAAAGAACCACCCCATCAGTACAGGGAATGAGGGGGAGAAGCTAAGGGACAAAACCAGCTGACTTCAACTAAATCAGGCACACAACAGCACCTCCTGCTTGCAGAGAAGTGTGTACATCAACAAGATTTGAGCTTGCCCGGCTTGTGCCAGGGATGACAGGACAGACTGCTCCTGGCAGACCAGATGAAAAGCTTCTTGCTGAGGGAAATCAGCCAGCAGACATCACGTACAGCATGGGCCTGGCTGCAGTTTCATTTGAAATGTTTAATATGACTGCTTAGAATTTCTACTCATCCATTAAAATAAATGCATCATTTTAAAGACTTGCTGACATCTGATGGAAAACTACATTCTTGAAGACAAGCTCCATCTCTACAGGGCAGTCGAGATTTTCTATGCTCCTTTCCATCTGTTTTTAATTCTGGGGACATCTGCCTGGAAATAAAACCTTTGCTGATTAGGATTTCAGCTGTTCCAGCTACTTGAAGTCCTTAACCTCACTCACCATCCATTATAATGAAATAATGATGACACTGACACCCACCATCACAAATCTTGATGTCCTCCTAATATCCCCCATTGGGGGATAGACCAGACCCTGTGCAGGTTAGATCAGACCCTGTCCCAGACCCTCCTGATTTTCTCCTGGCTACTGCATTATTGATGGTGTTGCCTGGGCTCCCTGTTCTGCCAAATCTGCTTTTGCTCCTGCAGCTCAGATGAGCTATCAACAGCAAAGGCATAGGGAATCATAAACAAAAAGCCACCAATTTATCATCAATAGAGCAAGTGAGATGAAGCTGACTTTTTGTCTCACCCTTGTTAAAGCTGGCAAAGAACTACACCTGCATTACAAGGGATGGTTAAAGCAATCAGGGAATTTGTTGGTAGTTTACATGAGGAAGCCACTTCAACCAGCTCTCTAGCAGAAAATTGCCATCTGTTAAATCCTGAGGTCAGGAGATGCCATTAGAAGTTGAGAGCTCTATTTCCTGACATAGGAGATGAGAAGCACTCTCACAGCTCTGCCTTTCCTCAGTAGCCGTGTCCTACCATCAGGGAAACTCTCCAAGGAGCACCCTTCTCTTCCCACTGCCACTCTGGGCAGCTGCTGCCTCCATGAGCATCCCGATCCTGCTCTTCTCCCAGTGCTTGAGCTCACACCAGAGCCTGGTCCCACCATCATCTGCAGCCCCTTCTCCTTCTCGGTCATTTCTGGGGTCATTTCTGAGCAATGACCTAAGTATCCTGGATATCCCTACAGAGCTACAGATAGAAGGAATTCACACCCCCTTGGTCTGATACTTTTCAACTCTTGCCTCCATGTCCTCCACCTTCCCTGTTGCCCTCATCGTTATCATCCTCTTTCAGACAACACAGTGGGGAGAAATGCCTCAGAAATCTGGAGGAAGACTAGAAGAAAAAGTGGAAAAAAGGGCATTCCTGGCTAACCCAATGGAGAGCCATTTGATAACAGCCTGCACCTTTGCGAAAGCAGAGCCTTTCCACTGCAAACGAAGTCAGGAAGACCAAGAATGATCTCCTGTTGGCTCAACAAGCTAAAATTGCCCAGAAAAGCTTTATATGACTGTTGCACCAAGTGTTATTAAGATTAAAAGAAGTTTGTATCATTTGCTGACTCTGGAGCTATCTACAATCTTTGAATCAATTTGAACAGTATACCCCTTAAAGATATAAACCTTATTATTTAACCTGAACTGAAGCACATATAGGACCACACATGCAGGGACCTATAAAGGCAAGTGCCATGCTGAGTCAAGTGGGCCCTGCTGAGAACCAGGGCATATTAGCTCAGGTGATGGAGTTATATCGCATTTGGTAAGGTATATATTCATTTCTTTTCAGGTGGCCACGTGTGGCACTCACTGTAGCATTTACACTCACATGTCCCTCTTTAAGACACTATCACAATGCCAAAATACACAGAGTAAAACCCCTTGTCAGCTCTTAACACAAACCATGCAACTCCGTCAAATACCACGTGAACATTTATTTGCATCCAAGAGAGTGAAAGCAAATACAATCTTTATAGTAAGAAATTGTTCTTGCGTACTTTAGCAATGTGTTCATTGCTCACCTTTCAACAGGGTCTCTCAGCATGATGATAAGTTTGGCATTCGGTTGGAAGGCATGGATAAAATCCTGGATTAAGAAGGGAGGTTCTCCTTCAGTACTGTTGTCATAAAAGAAAATCCAGGCGTTGTTATCCCACATCGTTGAGGCACTGGCCTCCCCTGAAAATTAAAAGCATCTCTGCTAGTAACTCATTTCATTCCTTGTATTGGAGTGGAAATGGCTGAATTTGGAAGTGGTGCAGATTGACTGCAATTGACGCTATTAATTTCAACATACCTTAGTTCTTGTAAATTGATCTAGCTAATGCTCCCCCCCCGGGCCAGAGCAATCACTCAGCCTCGTACCTGTGTGAATGTAGTGATGGGTAAGGCAGGTTTCATGTGATTCCACCTGAAATATTACTGTCCACTAACCACACTGCTTCCTTTTAGTGGTTAACACATGGAAATGTATTTGCTCTGGGCTGGAATGGACTGCTTAGGGTTTTGGCACGTCCTCCGGTGAGGAGCTGCTGAAGACCTGCCAAGCTCTCTGTAGCACCCAAAAGGTTGGTTTTAATGCTCCTGGTAACTGCTAATAAATAGTACAATTTGACACAAACTAAAGAAAGAAGCAGAAACCACCACACTGGTGGATCAATAGTGTTTAGAACATAAACAGGAGAGCTGGTGAGCACATGGGAAATGTTAAAATATAATGCACTAAGCAGCTGAATTGAGTCATTGTGGTTTGAAATATCCCTTCTTGAGAATATTCCATTATCAGAGCTTTTTTTATAGAACTACAATTATTCATGTAGGTGAAGTCAAATATAACTATTCCCCAACCATCAAACAAAAGGTCTATAGACTCAAGAACACATTGGTTAAATGCCAGATTCTGACATCCTTGGTTTCTGAAGAAGCTCGCTCTGAATGTAATGCTACAGGGAGAAACACAACCAGTAACGCCTGTGCCAGCACAGGGTACAGGATGCTTCAGCTGCTAAATAAATGATCTGAAAAGATGTTTTGACTTGTGTAATCTTCCCTGTCTTTTTAAGTAATACTGACATTTATGTGGCATGCTACCACTTAATAAAACATATAGAGAAGCTTTTTGGATACTTCCACTCTTTGACAGTCTAAAGAGAGTTAATTCTTGTTAATGAGGTTTTTCAAATCAAAAGGAATAAGCTGAGACAACAGGATTTCACAGACTTGCACATGACCTTGGACATGATTTCCCCCCTCCTTTTATTTGTTTCTTTCTTGGGAAAGTCCCATAAAGATTTTAAAAGATGGCAAAAAAAACACAGCATGAAAAATATACTGGCTCCAAACTTCAGCTTAACATAATGTGATTCATTAATAAAGTCTGGAAGTTGTTAGAAAACACATTAATCTTCTGTCATGCTAATTTTGCCCCTTTTCAGAAGGAGGAGATCAGGTCCATTGGCTAAAGCTGGGTGTCCACAGCTTTTCCATTCTAAATTAATTAGCCAAAGTACTGCCTAATTCTCAGTGGGCTTTAACTTGTCAATTAAAACTCATTAGCCCAGCTCCCATGCTGGGTGCAGCAGAAACACAAAAGACTAAATATAGGACAAGAGCTGAAATAGCCATACCACAAAAACATCGTGCAGCTATTTCTGTGCTGTCAGAAGATGGTATCATGCAAACTGGTATGAGCACTTGTGTACATGGCTTTATGGAATAGTGCACTCCAGGGATGACAGTGACCTTGGAAAGTCACTGCTGTATCTCCGTGACTGGAATGGCTTGACTTAACTGCTCCCTCAAAACTGTTTACCTAAATCATGCCAAAGAGTGAAGCACACAGCCTCCTCAGGCCATTTATTCGGCTCTAGAATAGATTGTCTGCTCTTCCTCCCTGCTCCTCTGCTCTGTAATCTCTGATCATATCTGATGTTCTGTTGGATTTATTCCAATTAGCTCCTATATAGTGACCAAATCTAAGAACATCTGCTTACACATGTTATCTGAACTAAGTAGAATCAGTGCATTTACACATAAATGGGCAGATTCTCTTAACATCACAGACCAGACTGCTCCATAGCTGCCACCATCAAAGCTCTGCAGGCAGTACACATGGAAAGGAAGACCACAGGCACATAGGCCAGTCACTCAAGGTGCTGCTCTAATGGAGTTGATCCAGGATATCTTGGATTCAAGAGGACAAATCTTCCCAAAACAAGATGACTGTCAAGAATTAAGTGGAGGGAATAATGATAATTAGAAAAACAAACAGCATTCTGGTCTATGCTGGCTCTTATAACTGTAATTTCCTGAAGCAGCCAAAAATAATCCTAACAGTGCTTGTTTCTGTTTTATAATGTAGATTTAATATCTGCACAAACAACAAACCATAATAAACATGAGATAAATTAATCACTGGAGCAATTATGTCAAATTACTGCCATATTTTCTCTTATGGACTTAATGAACATATGAATTAGTAAATTGCCTAAAGAGTAGCTGTATAACCTCTTTATTCAGTCACTAATGGATTAACATCATATTGTGTTTTCACAAGACATTCCTCTGAATTTATCATATTAATGATCACAAATAAATAAGTCCTGCTCAGAATGCCTCCGGCTAGATCAGGGCTGTCCTCTTTGGTGCATCTCTAAGCAGATGTTGGGCTTTTGCAGGGGGAAATGCAATTATTACCCACTAAGTGTACTATCCAAAGATCTGAACTTTATGTAACATGACGAACTACTTAAAGGTTTATAGTTTAACAATTTGTTTTTCTTTCTGGTCATCTGAAATAAGAAGACGGAGGATTCTTAGCAAACGTGTTTTACAGACATATTCATTTTAGACCAGCTGTCTGTGTTTTACCAAGGTCATAAAAGACTGACTTAATGAGTATGATCATTCAGGACTTTTCCTGTAAACTTAATAAGAAAAGCGAACAGAGCCTTAATGAAACAAGAAATGAGACTACAGGAAAGCGAAACACAAAGCAAACTGTAGAAAAAGCCGTAACAGGAGGTAAGTAATCAAAGATGTATGCTGCCAATTAGATTAGTGAATTCAATTAGTATAAGCACTTCACCCATGAAAGGACAGGAGATACTGTGAGGAGGATGGAAATCCACAGATGTCCTTGATGGCAACATTCTTAAGACCCCATCTTGTGGATATTGAATAAAGTGAATGACAGACTTAAATGGAGGCTGAGGAAGCACCGAACAAATGCGATTCCGGCCAAGCCTCTGGTTTAAACAAGGTAAGACAGAGTCACCACTTCAACGTGCCAACAGTAAGTTAAACTTTTTTGGTTAGAATAAGACAAAACTAAGAAGATTCTGAGGGCAAGCAGCAAAAAACCATGTCTCTGTTTCCTGCAGAATAATGACTTCAGGCCTATTTGAAAAGTCTCCTTTCAACAGGGAGCTGCCTCTTGTGCAACTCCTGCTTTCATGGAATGTGTCTGGTTTCCCTGGGAAATTCTGCAGTGACAGAGCAAGACCGGTCCAACTCTTCCCTTCAGCTTTCTGGTGTTAGCAGACAGCAAAAGCAGAATTTAGAAACTCCTCCTGATCTTCCCCAAGGGCACTGTGAACTGATGGTAGCATTGACCGCAGTGGATGAGCACAGTGCACTGACCACTGTGTGCCATAGAAAGCAATCCAGGGAGCCCTCCCTAGAGCCCAATTCTAAACACGGACTTCCATATAGTACAATATAACAGCATTTCTAAACCACTTTTAATGCTAATCAGGTAAACTGAAACTGTAAGATTATCTTAAAATAGTATCCCATGTGTCTAGGTTCTACATCTGGAAAGAAATACCATTCAAGATAGCTCCAGCTTGGCTCGGTATGTTCCTGCTCTTGAAACTTGCATTATCTTTGCTGTTAACAAAGCAGTTCAGGGTTTCAATTATTTTTATTTTAGTCCACCACAGGCTACACAGACTGATGACTCAAAAAATAGGGTTCTTTCTTCCCATGTTTATCTTATGTAGGAGCTTGAGAAAAGCTGGTTGGAGCTATAACTATCTCCATTCAGCTACAGGGTTTCTACAGCAACCACTGTATGTCACAACTAGTGTACCAGACGCATTGTTACAGCATTTGAACCTGATGCTACAACCCCATGACTACAGGCAAACCCCTGTAATGAAAACAAAAGCAGCGTTTGAAGGAGTCACCAAGATCATTCTTACTCTTTTTTTGTTTGGTTGGGGGGGGTTAAGACTTAATTAAATGATGATGTTCATCAGACATTCACTGCTTACTCAGGCATCTTCTAAGGATAATCACAGTTTTAACAAAGCAAGTAACAACCCTCAAGAAAAAGCCAAAAATCCCAGACTGGTTTGTGCTGCTCCAAGCCCCTGTGTCCAACCTGGCCTTGAGCACTGCCAGGGATGGGGCAGCCACAGCTTCTCTGGGCACCCTGTGCCAGCGCCTCAGCACCCTCACAGGGAAGAGCTTCTGCCTAAGAGCTCAGCTCAGTCTCCCCTCGGGCAGGTTCAAGCCATTCCCCTTGGCCTGTCCCTACAGGCCCTTGTCCCAAGCCCCTCTCCAGCTTTCCTGCAGCCCCTTTAGGCACTGGAGCTGCTCTGAGGTCTCCCCTTCAGGAGCCTTCTCCAAGATGAACAAAATAACTTCTGCACTAATGTCAGGGGCTCTGTGCTGAGAACCATTCACATGTGGGACAATGCCCCTCTCATGCCACAGCTGCAAATGCTGCCAGCCTGGAGCTACAGAGTCATAATCCAGAGTGTTATTTCCCTTACCAATTACGATGTTGTTCATCTTGCCGTGTTCTTTTGCTGCTTCACTCTGCAGCACACCCTGAATCTGGTGCGCTGCTAAGTCAAACAGATCAAGGTAATCTTCCACTGGGTAGCGATCATGAAATCCATCCCTCAGACGAATGATTCCTAAAAACAGTGAAAAGAGAGAAGTTTAAGGCAGGGCAAGATTAACCACTGGTGTGAACCAAGATGGCTTCACTGACACGGCTGGCACTGAGCCAGTTAACATCAGCACAGAATTAGACTGATGAAGTGTAACACTCAGATAAAAGTGCCAATAATGAAGTAGCTGAGATTAGAGACACTATACGATTAAGCCATAAATTCACAGAGATAGGAAATATCTGAAGTGTTCTGGTTTATAGTTCCTGCATGAATAGCTTGCATTTATGTTCTTCTAAATTTAGCTTTTGGAATGAATATAAAAGACCAGATTCCACTTTCATGTGCACCAATATAAATTGAAGTAATATTAATATTGGACTCCCACTAGATTTACTGTACTGAGAATGAGAACAGGCTCTGTTGCCAAGTATGCAAATCAACATGCACTTATCAAAATCAGAAAGCTGTGTAATCATTCATGGTTTTGTCTTCCATAAGTATGAAAACAAAGCTCCACGATAGTGTTTTATTTTCGTCCTCTCCTTCCCTACACTCCAGGGTGTGTTCAGCATCACCTGCTCCCTGCATTTCTCAGCATCTTGAGCTACATCTGTGATTTTTATACTTTTTTCCCCACTCTTCTATCCAAATCTAGCCTCACTTTTCTATCTTCTGTACATACTGCCCATGCCTATCTTTGCTTTCTTGCTTCTTAACACACCATAAGAGAGTTTCTTAAGTGGACAGTGGTCAAGGACAACATTGGAAAGGCGACAGGGTAGGAGGAACCCTAAGAGTATAGAGCAGGAATTCTCATCTCTCTTCTTCCTGCAAGGCCACTAATTATCAACTATGTGAGAGGAAACCTCAGCAAGGGAGTTATTTTGTCCATTCCCTCTGATTTTCCCCTTTAGAAGAGTGGGATTTAATGAGGGTAGAAGAAAGCTCAGCAGTGAATTATGACTTGTTTTGAGGGAAGGAAAGAAAAGTACAGTCATGGTGCTACAGAGTGCCTTGGCCTGCTGCCATCCCGCTCATGAGAATAGAAATGGTGGCTACGAGCCAGGGAAGAGAGACAGTCACGCTGGGACAAAGTGCTGTAGAGCATCAACCATCCCAGCGGAATGGGAAAGTGGTGATTTGCGAAACAGGGCTTCCCAAGGAGGGCTGGTTAGCTTCAGCTGGAATTAGGCAGTCTCATAAAGATCCACTGAATCAGAGGATGCCACAGAACAAAGAGATTTTCTTGTCCAGATAAGTGTTACAAACTAAACCAAATTAGTAGCCAGGAGCATTAGAGTCATATTCATTATCTGCCTCATAAACGAGGTTGTCTCAGTTTCACTTGTTAGTCTATTTGTCATATTCTTTTTTCTTATTGTATTCTTTCAATAGTAACTATTAGCTAATGCACTGTTGAGGCAGAATGAAAGGACAAGACACCAGAGGCAAACTTAATCTTTCATTCTCGATGGCAGACAGCCCTAGATGATCGGAAGGTCATCTCTACAGATCTCCCTCCCACGAGATCATGAGCTCTGCATTCTTTCCTCATTCTTCAGCTTTATAAAGTCACTTCAGAAAATGTAATCATGCAAAGAATGTTCTCTTCAAGGATCTGCACTTGTCCCCAGTGGCTGACCACAAGACCATGCAAGTGGAGAGTTTGTGAATGCTAACACAGAGATAGGAATTTATCCTTATTATGAAACCATATGCACTCAGCAGGATTCCTTACAATCTTCTGCCTGTTTGGTAGGTCCAGTTCTGAGCTTTAGCAGGTCCAGTCTTGCTTTGGTGAGGTTGGAAAACACTGCCTCCTCTGACGTTAATTCCAAGCATTTAAATTGAGGCTAGTGTAGGTGTAGAGAACTATTCAGTATAAAGGATCTCAGCTCAGTATATCAGTTCAGCTCACCCTTTCCTGCCAGCACTCTCGTGGAAGACAAAAAGTTCCACAGCAGCTTTTGCTGACAGTCCCTGCATCTGTACACAGCATTTGCACTGGAAAGTGTCCAAGCCTCAAATCCCTTTTCTTCACTGAACTGACTTACCCCCTTCAGGTCAGGAGGTAATCCTTATCATTTATCTTCAGTCAGGCCCTGACTGTGATGAACGAGTGTTTTCTAATGGGGCTTCAGGGGGCACCACGATGCTTCTCTTGTTTGACTTTGACTCCTCAATTCCCACTACTGCTGTGTCCAGTGTCTCCTAAACTGGGATAAATTATCTCAAAACTGCATTTTCATCATACTGCTGTAACTCTTAGTTTATAACAAACATTTAGAAAATGTCTAAACCGCTTATTTTAGCCATTTTCTTATGGCATTCACAAAGGAAGAAAATACAAACGCTATGAACACAGGACAAGCATGAAATCCTGGCTCTGTGACTGAGCTCTCCTCCTCACTGAGCAATGAGGAACAAAGCCCCATCTGCAAGCTCAGAGACTCTTCTGGGCTCCAGAACACAGGGAAGTGAGGTGGAAATGGCAACACCACATGCAGGAAAAAGAAAGAATTGAAGGTATGACCCCAAAATAAAGAACAAAAGCAGCACTGCAGGTGCCCCAGTCCCTCAGTGTCTGTTCTTGCCTTTAGCCACAGCACTTCATCAGAAGAGAGTTACTCATTTCAAAGAAGCTTAGAAAAGCATCAAAGGAAAATAGTGATGCAAAGTCATCAATTGTCTATCCCACAGAGCTAGGTTTTAACTTGTTCCAAAGGCAATGTCTGCAGTAAAGCATCAGCAAATGAGAAATAGAAGTGGCAATGTCACTGTAAAATAACTAGGATCTTTCCCTTGGAAATGGTAATATCACTGAAAAGCCTGTGATCTCTGATACCAAAGTCATACAAAGTGAGGGCATAGCAGCACTTAACAGCTAGACTAAACAGTGGGAAAGTCCAAAGGCTGGGTGGAATACAGCATTTAGAGGAAGGCACTAAGCACATAGAAGTCAGGAACTGAAAATGGGTCTTCTGCATCTCCTCTGGTCTCTGACCACAGGACTGACCTTCCTTGGCACCCAGGGAGGAGAGAACAAGGACATAAACCCTTCAGCTGGATAAAACGATGCTCTCACACCACTGCCCTCAGACTCCCTTTGAAGGTGCAATCATGAGGGGTGGATGAGTTTTTGCTCCAGCAGGCCATAACCTGAGCTATTCCAGTCTGCCTTCAGAAACGAAGGGTCACTTCATGAAATATTGATGTCACCCAGGAAAAGAGCATCAAAAATACATGCAGGTTCCTCGGTGTGAGGCAGATTTCTCATGCAGAGCATCTTCGCTCTTCAGTACTTGACTAGAGCTGCAATGCTAATGAAGCTCCTACCACAAAGCATAGTTGTATTATTTACTGAACCATAAGGACTGAAGACACCTACATTTCAAATACTGGCCCATCATTTATGCATTTCAGAAAGGCTTTATAGAGTTCTGCAATACAACACTATCACTGCTCTTCCTTAAGTCCCCCATCACAATTGAGTTGTTCTTCTTTCTTGCTTTTACAAGTTCACAGGGCTGGTTTTATCTAATGGTTTTATTTTTTCCCTAGGTTTTTGAAATGAAGGTGCATCATCTCAAAAAATCAGGCTGAAGCACACTGAGCATTTATCATCTGGAGTTTTCAAAACTGTTCATAGAATCATAGAACTGTTTGAGTTGGAAAGGACTTTAACATCATTTACTTTCAACCCCTGCCACAGGCAGGGACCCCTTCCACTAGAGCAGGTTGCTCCAAGCCCCTGTGTCCAACCTGGCCTTGAACACTGCCAGGGATGGGGCAGCCACAGCTTCTCTGGGCACCCTGTGCCAGCACCTCAGCACCCTCAAAGGGAAGAGCTTCTTCCTTACATCTAATCTAAATCTCCCCTAAGTTTTAACTCCAGTGGGTTCAAGGGAAGCCAATACAGAGAAAATCCATAAACTTCACCCCAAATATATACAAGAAATGTCAAAGTTCAATAGAGATGAGTCATCTGGATGCCAGAGGACACATTTACTCACCAAACCGTTTTCTTGTCCACCAGTGTGGCTCTTTGATCGCTGAGAACCGAACATCAGGGTGCAGCCTGAGCCGGTCATACAGGTCCGTTGTCCCACACTTAGGCTGGCCAATGATGTAGAAATGGGGGAGACAGCGTAGGCGGTAGTGCTTGTCCTTATAATGGTACAAGTGGTTCCAAAATACCTTCCTGAGGTAATCAAATATGGTTCGAAAGCGCTTTGAATACAGTGCATAAGAGTTTGTTGCATAAGGATCTGTGGTTGTGTTTCCTCTGTACTCTTCATACCAACAAGGATTCTTGCTATTTGGAAGGAATTTATTAGGAATTACTGAAAACATCTGCAACATAAAGAACAACAATTTCAGTCAAGGCAGCAAAAAAGTTGATAGTTATACTTTTCCAGCTTAGCACAGTAAGAAAACACAATAAAATCACTATATGGCCATTTTTAACCCTTATTCTGTTAACTACAAAGCTAACCTATTTCTTCTGATGACACCAGAACCAAATCCTTTACAAACAGTTGGATTAGGAGACAAGAATATTTAGAAATCCTTTGCTTTTAAGGCCAGAAACATCCTCAATAATCCCCCAACTCCCGTGTAACCCTAGGATTTAATTTTTAAAGTCAACCACATGATACTCAAATCAAATTAACTCACAGCTTTTAACTCTAAAGTACAAGGTCTGCAATGACTGAATTTTCAGGGAGGCACACAGGTAGCCAGTTATTAGAAAGGCTCTTTTCTTATTTATCATTTAAGTTGACAGGCAAATTTAAGTCAGAATGATTTTGCATGAGACAAGGTGAAAATTCAGTGAGATGGTGCAGCTGTCAGAGAGATGCCTGGTTTTTGTTTTAGGTATCAAGACCATTTACGTAACCCACCTATTTTGCCCATGACTCAGAAAGGTGTGATCTACAGCATCCACTTTTCAGCTGGGGTTAACCAGGAGACTCCAGATGGTGTAAATCACCACACGAACATCTGAGCGGTCTCACTTTTTTTTTTTATCTCAGTTCAAGATGGACCCAAAAGTCTTGAAATAAGCAAGTATAGAGCAATCAAAGACACACTTCAATTCATACTTACATGTGGCTCTTGTTTCCTCAGTTCCTCTGAATCAGGGCGCTGTCTTGTTATAAACTCTATCTTTGAAGTAATAGTGTCAATAATTAATTTAATGCTTGGATAATCCTTTACGTATGAAATATTCATTTTAGAAGGCTGGTAATGGTCTTTCATGTCACTAAGGCTTTCATTGTCCATTAAGCTTGGATTGCTAGTAAAAGCTCCATAATGGAAGGGAGATGGTATTAACAAGAGGCCATGTTTGGCTCCAGTGAGTATGTAGGATGCCATCACTAGAGTCATTATAATCAACCCAAATATCAAGCTGCATAGCTTCCCCTTCCTCAAACAGAAAACTCCATGCCAGCTTTCACTGTGATCAGTCCTTACTTCCAAAACTGCAAGCAACTTCATCTGCTTGCTGTCGGTGTACAAAGGGATCTTACTTTCTTCTTTGCAAACAGGACACTTCTGGTTATTATGATTAGGTCCGCGGCATCTGAAACACTGTCTGTGCAAGTCATTTGGTAATAAATGTATGCAGCAATTAATGCAATACCTCATATTACTACTGTTAAACCTCTGTATTAATGAGCCAAGCACAGTCATGGAAAGGTTTCTGAAGCATATGAGTCATCTTCTGTAAGTCTGAAGTTACTTAATGGCTTGAGTTTACAGTTATTAGTTCCTGATTACAACTAATCAGCAATACAAAAAGACAGGTTCAAACCAGAATAGGTAAAAGCACTCAAAAAGTGACATATGTCCCATAAAGAAAAAATCCAAGCCAACAACCCCCACACAAAAATAGACGTAGTGTGGTCGTGGTTTCCAAGGATTTGGCTCAGCAAGAGGAATGTGGTGAAGGAAGAATCAGCTACAACAACCAGCTCAAGTTTTTCCCATCGAACAAAAGGAGAAGAAAGAAAAATTGTTACGTGGTGTGAAAATATGCAAGAAGTAAAAATAACTCATTGTCCTCTGATTTACGCTGGAATGGGCAAGTATGGGTAGAAATTCCCAGGTGGTCTTAAAGCAAGTGGGTTCCAAACTGAAGTGCTGCTACTGGAAGCTTCATATTCCCAGAGACAAAGATTTGCATCATACAACCTAAAAAGGCAAAAATACATACATACATACACACAGAACAGCAGACAGAATATCTACATTCGGCTTCATTCAAAGCCACAGCAAAGTACCAATCTACCTCAAGTAATTTCCCAACTGTATTTGAAAGATGACTTCTATTTGCCAAGTATATTAATTACAGCACTCAACAATATTAAACCCAGGAAACGTTTGGCTTCAAGTTCAACAGCAAGCTGCCCTTTCTTTTCAATCACCCATCTGCTCACATCAGCAAAGAGCTTCTATCAGAGGTAACAGTACAGAACCTCCCTCAGCTGCCCACTAACCTATCCAGCAGATCTGTCTGCTTCTTAAATATGGAAGTATTCAGTAACATTGGTTCAAATATTTACACTCTATCTGTACCTGTGGACCTCAAGTTAACTGTCTTGAAATGGAGTAGAACCCTAGTTAAGAGCACAAAGGATAACGTAACAGTCTTCTTTCAAGTGTGTAAGATAAAAAGCCAAACAAAACCCCCCAAAGCTACAAGTAAAATTGAAGGAACTGAATAATAGACATGGGCAAAGGCTCATGAGAGGATCTCTGGTTTCTGGGATGGGAGTAACTGCACACTGCAGTCACCAAGGTACTTTCAGCGCTACTGGCCAAATATGTTTTGAAAACATGGTACTTGATAAAAATGGCAAATGGTGTTACTTCAATGAAATGTACCAACACTGCTGCAGCTTTAAGGCAAGACCCTGGATCCCGCAAATCCTCTTAATGGCATGCGCTTTAGTACCTGAGAGGTGGTGCAGAACACATAGGAAGTGATGTCCCCTTGCTACAGGCAGGCACCATGGGCAGGGACTTGAGCACTTGTGGGTCCCATGAAGGTGTCCACATCCACACAGACCAGGGGCTAAAGCAACCTGTGCACAGGGTTTGTGACACCCTCACATAAATACTTCAACACCATGGTGTCTTACAGCCAAAACGTAACCAGAGCTGTTTAAAGTATTTATGGTCTTGGTTTGAGCACATCCATGCTTGGGTTTCCAGGCAACCTTCAGAGCAGAGATACTTGAAAATAACAAACAAGTCATCAGCTTAAGGATGGTGTCATTAAAGCATTTTTATGCATAGTTCCTCTAGAATTTCTTTTTCATGGCTTATAAACACCTTGCTGGTACAACCCACATTTTAAGGTCAAAATCAGCTTCTCTGCTTTGAGAAGCTAGATCATCAAACACAAAAGTTCACAGATAACGTTATCTTCTTCCATATACTAGAAAATACTCTGATTTTCTAAAATTACTTTTCTGGGGGAATTAAAGACAGGAAATATTTCATTTTAAAATAATCTTGAATAATCAGAAGCAAACCAATAAACTGGCATAGGATGAAGATAAAAAATATGGGGAAAATCGAAGGACCTTAGTAATTCTCTGACAGCTAAATCCTGCTTTGGTTTTTGTCCCTGATAAAGACAGAACTTCCCTTTAGCCACTGGGAATGAAGACACCTTAAGGCTCCAGTGCTGTGATGCTCCTTGTCTATTCCAGTGTGGATGCTAGTGAAAGCAGCTATCCAGATCCCGTCTCAGCACCTCCATTTCCTCAGCATAATCCAGGACATGGTTTGCTACAACCCAGTATTAACATGAGTAACTACCCTGAAGATTCAATGCACACAGTTTTAACCGTATGCTGATTGAGAGGCTCAGTATTGCCTCTGAAGAACAGGAATGGCCCTTCTACATAAGCTATCTTATTGCGGATAAAAGCAGCAGCTGAAGGAATTGGAAGAATTCAGAGAAATAAACTTTGCCTGAAGTACAAGCAGCTTTACCTGAACAGAACAGTTTCTTTTGCCCAGAAGACTAAGGATGATTAAATATGAATTAATTAGAATTATGTGTTACATTAAGTTAATCCATATTATAATTAACTTTGCTAGACCAGAGAACCATCTCACTGCTGTATGGGATATCTAAAAGTCCAACAATCACTTTTACTACTTCAATGAAAATACATTTTCCAAGTCACTTTAATCAAAACATGAAATAGAAAAGAGATTTGACAATTCACACTAAGAAAAATCAGTGTGCTATCACAGTAACATCAAAACATCTGCACCATTATAATTCTCACGTGGGTACATTTGTTCTATTTTAAATACACCTCAGTAACCATGTACAGATTTTCTTCTCATTACTTTTTGCCAGTGGCTCCCTCCTCTGGACCCACAATAGTTGCTCCTTCCCTGCAAAAGTCCATCTTTCTTTTTAAGGCTCAGAAACAGTTTTTCTTTGCGTGGTTTCTAGACATAGAATCATAGAATCATAGAATAGTTAGGGTTGGAAAGGACCTTAAGATCATCCAGTTCCAACCCCAAAGCCATGGGCAGGGACACCGCACACTAAACCATGGCACCCAAGGTTCTGTCCAACCTGGCCATGAACACTGACAGGGATGGAGCATTCACAGCTTCCTTGGGCAACCCATTCCAGTGCCTCAGCACCCTTACAGTAAAGAACTTCTTCCTTTGATCCAATCTGAACTTCCCCTGTTTAAGTTCGAACCCGTTACCCCTTGTCCTATCACTACAGTCCCTAATGAAGAGTCCCTCCCCAGCATCCTTATAGCCCCCTTTCAGATACTGGAAGGCTGCTCTGAGGTCTCCACGCAGCCTTCTCTTCTCCAGGCTGAACAGCCCCAACTTTCTCAGCCTATCTCCATACAGGAGGTGCTCCAGGCCCTGATCATCCTCGTGGCCTCCTCTGGACTTGTTCCAACAGTTCCATGTCCTTTTTATGTTGAGGACACCAGAACTGCACACAATGCTCCAAGTGAGGTCTCACGAGAACAGAGTAGAGGGGCAGGATCACCTCCTTCGACCTGCTGGTCACGCTCCTTTTGATGCAGCCCAGGATACGGTTGCTTTCTGGGCTGCAAGCGCACACTGAAGCCGGCTCATGTTCATTTTCTCATCGACCAACACCCCCAAGTCCTTCTCCACCTTTCTCTTTTCCCTCTCCTACAGTGCTCTTCGTTCCACCCAAAACAATCTAACTTGCCTCATTCATTTGCACACTTATGTCTTCAGCAGAATTCTTCCTATCTGACTTCATCCCTTGGTTCCTGAAAAAGAGATTTACTTCTGAAGTGCACATTTGTGTAATGTCCAAGACACTAATAACAAAAATAATTTCTCCTGACAATACAGAGTATACAGAGAGGATTCTCTGAGTACTCCTACAAAACATCAAATCATAGAATCATAGAAATTTAGGGTTGGAAAGGACCTTAAGATCATCCAGTTCCAACCCCCCTGCCACGGGTAGGGACACCTCACACTAAACCATGGCACCCAAATCATAGAAGTACAATCATTAGAATCATAGAATAGTTTGGGTTGGAAAGGACAACCCGCATGTAATGGGACTCATCATCACTAATGATGATTACTAATGATGAGTCCCAGAATTTGGCAATTTTGCCTTTAGCTCTCTCAACACTTGCTTTGAATTCTTAAGAAACACTGCTATAATCCCAGATAATAAGTCCTCATTCATTTGCACTAATATGTCCAGATCAGACAGGGCCCTCACTTCGGATCCTGCGTTAATCATCATTATTCTAGTGCAGTTTTTGTATGAAACAAAGTGCTTTTGTACAATTATTTGTATTCTTGATGTTTTTCCCACCTAACGCTGTCACTGTTGAAGCATTTCTGCAATCAGAGCAAGCACGCTGTGTCTCAAGGACTCAAGAGTCATTATTTAGATAAATACTGAATAAAAGTATTTGCCAAATATCTTCCTACAAAAAATAAAGGTTCATTTCCTTAATGAGCTCATTCTACAGTCAGAGGAGGCAGACAGAAATCATTGCTGAACCATTACTCTATTTTAAACCAAAGTGAAAGAAATCAGTGTAAGACCTCTTAAATAAGCTAGTCTTAAAAACTTCCCTAAAGAAATGGGCCTGAGATGATTTTGACAGAAGTTTGAATGACTGGAGAGACAAAATTGGGCCCATATTGTGCAATATTAAACCCAGAGAGTTTATGCTTTCATACACGTAAAACAAAACCACTCCTCATAAAACGTCCAAAAGAAAAACTCTGGAAAGAAGCCAAGCTTTAAAGCAGGAAAGAAGCCGGCAGTTGTCCAAACACCAGTGATGGTCCTAATGGCTGGAGAGGAGGACAAGAAAGGGAAGTCATGAAGAGAAGCGAAAAGTTTACAGTTTTCAAGGGAACATTTGGGGCAACAGTAAGACACCTGAGCAAAGATTTTAAAAGAGGAAATAAAGGAGGCAGGAGAGAAGTGCTGCCAGGACAGATTTGGACATCATGCACGGAGGTAATAGAGGAAAACATGAAAGCAGAGATAGTTCCCGAAACAAGGCTATTGAAAAAGAGGGGATAGAGATAACAAAGAAAAAAAGGCAGATGAAAAAAGCACCTCTTAACGATGCACAGAGACTGCAGGTTATAGTGGCAACTATATAAAGATCTGGTAACCATAAGGTACTCTATAGCATCACTTCAACTAAATTTATCCTGTGCTACATGTTTGTTTGCATGTAATCCTTCCACCCTGAACTCCTCCACTTTGACACCCGGTGAGTATCTCAGTGTTCTCCCAGCTCCTTGTGGTTTATTTTCAGTTACTAGGCACAGTCTGTTTAGAAAAAAATATAAATCCAATTTATTTCCAGTCCTCTTTTAACCGGGATCTGAAATTGTCTCAGTGACACTGATTGAAGAGATTTATCTGACATAGTCTCACAGAATCAATTCAAGCCCTGCGTTTTTGACACTAATTCTCAAAATTTTGAAAAGAGCCATCAAAGATACATTAATGAATTCAGAGCACAAGATCTTAGCAAAACCACAGAAAATTCACTGTCCTATCTCATGTCCATTTTTATGTTAATAAAATGAGCTGGAATTTACTGAACCTTTCCCAGTTGCCGACACCTCTCACGGAACTCCATTGCAAGTATGACAAACTCAAGGGAAAAACACAT